ATCATAAACCGTACTGCACCGGGATGCAGAGAGAAATGAGTACCGGGCAAACTTACCGTCGCTTCGCGAAGCATCCAATCGACAACAATGCGTAATTGCATCAAATCCTCCAGAGTGGTGTCTTTCAAGCTGAAGTCAGTTTGCCAACCCTAGAGCGAAGGAATGGCGCATGTGTTTGTCAAAAATTACAAAACTCCTGCAGGTTTTATACAGTGATGTGTTTACCTGTGTACTTTTCTTCATTCTAAATGCCGACGTCATTTTTGCATGCGCATGTAAGGGAATATTTTAGTGCGTAAGCTGAGCTAGTAGAGTGTGCTTCTTGTACACTTCTTACCACACCCGGGGGGCCATACAAGTAGCGCTCGCCATCAGGGATTCCGGGAGGGCTGATGGCCCTTTGAGATCCGATGGTTAAGCGTAGGGCCGCCATTTTGTCGTTGGAAACTGACGGATGGTCTGTCTGCACCGAAAAGACGAGGCGAATCACATCACAGCAACATCAGTTGCTGCGCTACTGCCATTGCGCTGTACCGTGTACGTGTCAGGAATTTTGTCAGCTGATGGGTTCCGCGCAACAGCCAGCGACTCAAAGGACGGTACCATCAGGAGGCAGGATCTCATTTTCACTGAAAGTGAACCCATAGCCTGTGATAATTCATTGGGGAGCTGCCCTCTGTCCTGTGTTTGAGTGCAGTTACGGCCTACTTGCAGGCAGTAACATCTAACTGTCATGTTCTGCGGCTTCTGCTGTTCCGTAGCATCGTCACCCAAACGTCTTGCCAGCTCGACCAAGTCTGGTTGGTCTTCTAGTCTCTCGACAATATGGTAGAACACAGTTATGCGACTGTTCGGCGGCTTTGAAAAAAACGGAGCAGGGACAGAGGCTAGCGGAATCGTCTCCTTCTTAAGCTTGCATGGGCTCCTCGTTATCTGCATCTGGCAAGAGCCCAAAAAATCGCCTTGCATCCCCATGTCTTGGTCGTACACGCTAATATGTAGAGTTCCATTTTCCTGATCGCCCAGCAGAAAAAAGAACGGTTCAAAGACGCAAAACTTTCACAAGTGCACTTGGGCACAAAACAAAAGTCATTTCTGTTTCGAGCTTGCGTCATTGCCTGCCGTGTCAATGTCCAGGTAACCTCTAAGCATACTTTGATTTCTGTCTCGAACGAATACTCCCATACAGGGTTGAGCGTGTTCATCTGAGGCGGCGAGCAAAAGGAGTTGCCCTCATAGCGGATGCTCACATACGGGTCAGAAGCCCCCGTGACGTCGCCTGTTGAAAACGAAACAACGGTGCTGCGCAGTCTCTAAAACTAGAAATGTAGCACAGCTACCAATACTTAAAAATATGGTGTAGCCATCAGTTCGGTTAATTAGGGCCAAGTTTGAGCGACTCTATCTTGGCAACGAAAGCATGATGGTTGAAGGAAATAGACTTGTGTCGTGGGAGAAACACAGATTCGAAGGCGTACCTGCAGCTAGATCATTTCCACATAGAACGCACATGCGCAAAAACAGCGGTCCCTGCTTGGGTGGGGGAGCATTCACAAACTTCTCATCAATTTCTGCTTCCTTTGCCCCGCAGTTGAAGAATGACGGAAGTTCGAGACCCTGAGATGGCTGACGAGGTTGTCCACCGCCAAGTGTGGCCGCAAGCAGCAGAGACGTGAGGTCCGCCATTGCGGTGAGCTTTATTTATCACTATGTAGGAGGTGGCCTGCACGCCCTACTCTTCGTTTTCGAGTTGTTTTGCAGCCCCAAAGTGAGGCCTTTCGGCTTCCTACGAAGGCTTCCCAGAAAAAATTCTTGTTTCCCCATTAAAACTATCATCCAGCAGATTCGCAGCCTGCGGATATTTTAGGAACCTCAGTGTACGAAGCATTGGTCTCGCTCGCTACGCGCCAAGTCGATCCTGATGGCGGTTAGACCGCCTGCGGCTGTCGTGAAATATGTGAGGAAGCTGAAGAATATGTTAGTTGGGCTGCGGAAACAAATTCATCGATATGCACATGTAGTGAAGAATTCAATGTGTAAGCAGGGGGACAGACAGTTTTTTCATAAATAGGGCAGGACTGACTGACCGTAACTGTGGCCAGGTGGTCCGCTGCTAGTGAATAAGCTGCAGTTACCGGTCTTTCTTTGCGTAAAAATTTCCAACATGAAAAAGAAGTAAAAAAAAAGCCCTATCAGTATGGATAGAAGGCGACTGAGGTGTGGAGATGCACATGAGCCGAGAGTGGCATGCTTGATGGCTGATAGTTCTTCGAGCCGGTTGGTCTCTTCTGTCAATGTGTTGGCTACCAAGGCCCCCAAACTAGCACAAATTTAACCTATTTTACTTATAATAGTTAGCTTTCATGGCGACCGTCCCATTCTCGTTGCATTTCTACGCGCGCATTTACGAGCCGCGGTGGTTACTGTGAGCTAGGGGTTCCGAAGAAATGTGTCATTCCACAGGACTTCCTTCCAACTCACTCGTTTCTGCATTTGATTCACCACGAAAAAAGTTTAAGAGCAGATCGTAATTGGTAACATAGGGATACTGGGGCCTTAAGACGTGGAGTTGAGGACAGTAGATCAGTACGTCACTCCAACGGCTAAGCTGACTGTTCAAGTACGGTGGAGGAGGAGAAGCCATCAAAAAATTACTGTCAACTTCGATCTATATGATTGAGTGTCAGGAAAAGTTTGGCTAAAAGGGTGGGCAACTGCGAATGCTGCAACAACAACAGTGCAACTGTTTGGTGATCTCACCGCAGACGACACGTTACATATGCTCGAGAAAGCAGGGAAGAGCGTCAGGTTTCTGCCGCAGTTTTTTAGAAAACATTAGCATTATGCTGTTTTGTTGCTTCCTATGTATTCGAAAGCTCAATGGTTGAACGCGGCGAAACAACAAATGTACGCCTGTGCGGAGTGTGAACTACTGTAGCACGCGGGCACCTTTTATAAATTTGCCTTGCTTCAAGTATTTGTTGAAGTGCAAGATCAAAGGATATTGCTGCGTTATAAGGATTATGTGAATCCGTTTATGCCTATCTATGTGTGCGCTCATTAGCTGGATCCTCGCTAGGGAGCCAAAGACATGAAGGCGCTTCATAGTTCACTAGGCGCAGCGAAAAATCGTGTCCTTTTACCTTTTCAGTGGCTTCAGTGCACAGTCCAGCACTGAATTGCTATGCCTTAGTGTTCACCATCGGACATAGCAACGACCCAGTGTTGGCTCGCATTCCACCCCGGTCTATGGCGGGAAAACTAGATGCTTGACACGTAGGAATTCCCTACCTTTTGGCAAAATGAGGAATGCTATACTGAAAGATCGCATCATGGCCATTTGTTGCTACGGAACCAACACTACGACACTCGCTGACATTACAATTTCAATGACACAAGCTACTCGCTGCAGAGCTATCCTGACAGCAGAACACTGACAGCTGTCAAAGTTAGTGTGAACAATTTAGCAATGCGAAAACGCGCTCCTGCTGGGACACAAGTGAAGGCAGTCAGTTCCTGCGTATGTACGTACGCATATTGCGTTTCAGAAATGTTCGTTGCCATACAGTGGCGCGTACCAACGCCGAAGTGTACAGACAGCATGAGGAATTGGCAGCCGCCCCGTGCCGTCAGATTCATTATTTCTGATCTTTCCGAATGCGCTCCTTCCTTCAAGCCGTGCTTGCAGCAGAACCCAAACCATCTTCTCCTTTCAGCACTTTCTGAAGATGCAGCTGTGGATGCAAGCACGAATGGCCTTTGACGGTCACTTGGCCATGCGGGGCAAACTGCAAGGCCACCTGCAGTCTGCATTGCAGGTTAGTTCGAACAGTTTTGCCGGCCTGAAAATAAAATCCCACTGCATGTTTCAGGTCGCGTTTTGGCTCTGCCTTTGCGGGGGAACAGCATGCTTTGCTTCTGCTGCTTTGGCATCCTACTGTCCCGACTGCATTAGTATGACGGCATGAGCAGTCCTCTCGAATACATACTCCTCACACGAGCTTGCAGGCTTCGCAAGGCTGATGGGCGGCCTTCTCGTTGCGGTAAGCACATACCACATACCTCCTTAGAACTCTGTGAACGCCAGTTCAGACAGGGCTATGCGCTGGACTCATGGCATACGCCAGAAATGAGGGAGCCAGCACCGAAAGCAAAATAATAATGCACCCCTGGTGAGGAAGACCTCCCAAAATGTTTACGACACTTGGCTTATTCTCCTCTGTTCTAGGTCTATCAAAGAGCTCGTCGAGGTCAGCTGATTTCCCGAATCGCGAAGCCGCGAAGTTCCTTGTACTCATTTGAGGAAACAGGTCTCACTGACCTCCGGCACTGTGACTATTGGGTAAGGCTGATAATGCAGCATGACTCTCTTATAAAATTTACAACACCACTCCAGAGTAGTTGATATCGTGCTCGTGAGTTGAAGCACGTCATGCCGGCGTAAACTTCGTGGCACACCACTTGCGCAGGTCTACACCTACCACATTCTACTCGTTGTTGACGCTGCTGTTGCGTTGTCTGGAGCAATGCTTCTAGCGGAATCTCTGGTAAGTCCAACAAATTGAAGCAAAATCGGAACGTCCCGATACAGATAACCATTCAGACGTGTCTGAAGACAGACGCTGTCCTCTTCTGGACCATCAGTGCTGCATGTGGCGGTGAGTCCATAACCAAGCGTCGTGCCTGAATGCATATAAATAGCCGAAATTCAGTTGTACTAGCTGGCCTCTCTGCGTTTCTGGTTCTTATTTTCGCCAACATGCCCTACGGTAAGAATTGTGCAACCTCCGCAGGCCAACTGTTTGACAATTTCGCCGGCGCTTACAGGCATAATGGAATATACAAAAATATACGCCGACAACTTTGGAGGCGCCGTTGTTTCCGCTGGAAAACACATCAAGGCAAAAGTGGCAAAGAGTGCAGCTCGTGTGTGAACCTCGATTATGTTAAGCGGGCATATCTGCATGAAATGTGCCGCTGTAAACTGATAGCTTACACGCTCATTTCGAATTCGAATTTTTTTGTTCGTCTTCGCATATATCCGGCATGCGGCTGTCCTGCCTCTCAAATACATCTTCGATGTCTGCTGGGTCTAGCAACTTGGACGCTCCACTCGTAGCTTCTATTGGACCAGAGTTGCCTTTAGGAGGCATTTTGCCGTGAATTGGTGCACCTGTTGCCGGGTCTGCGAATTGGGCCTCAGGGGGTCTGCAAAAAAATTCATAGATACAGAAGTGTGTGGTATGAAACACTTCTGAACACACCTCGAGCAGCCATGGGTCGCTGACCTGCTTGACGGAGGGACAACAACAACCTTCGGAGTCTTCTTCACTTGGTCTCCGCTAATATCCATTTTGCTGAGATTGAATACGGGCTTGCAGAACTGGTGTTTCAAACGCGAATTCTGTTGTAAAGAATGCGTGACGATGGCTAGTCCCACGAAGTGGCGGTACCGAGTGCTAGCGCAATCACAGTTCATAAATTTAATTAACATTGAAAGATATAATAGCACAATTTACAGCAAAAGCGCCGAGCATCCAAGGCGTCATGCTATTGTGACGTAAGTGGCTGGCCTTGCCATTGAGTGCATGCAACGGTGAAGGAAACCAGATGAAGCAGGGCAAAAGTTTGGGCAATTAAGAACAAAACAAACATTTAATTTGAACAATCTAGATTGTTCTAAGGGAACAAACTTCAACGTAGTAATTCCTTCCCAGTCCTGAGTCACGATGCCCACTGGAAACCAGGTATGTTTAGTGTTCCCCACCAGAGTGAGAGTGAGGCTGGAGACTGCCTTGCTCTTTGCGGACGTTTTAATTTTTCTGTACAGTGTAGTTTCTTAGAATTTCCGGAATTCGGGTGATCGTTAGATAATCGTCGGGATGCATTGGTTTTGTCATTGCTAAGCCGTGTCAAAAGTCAGACTCAACTACAATCAGTCTGTTCCAGTAAATGGCTCCAAGAGCGATATATGTAGCAAAGTATAACATTCCTTGCCAAGTGCAACAGGATTCTTGGTGCCAGTTTCTCTAACAGTAGATAGTAGCCGCCGTTTTATTGCTGCACGACTTTTGGGGGCATCCATCCCTAGTGCAGTGATCACTTTGACAAGGAGTTGCAATTCCATAAATCTTCTTCGCTGTGTAGTCTCTTCAGCAGCTAGCTAGAGATTCTTCACAGGCACGGGAAGTAGCGACTTTCGGGTGCATATTCCCAGCTTCGTGCTATCCTTTGACAAACTGCTCAGGGAGGCAAAAAGAAGCCTTTGAAGGCTCCAAAGAAGGAGACAATTGAATTTGAAGACGACAAGGAGTTTAAGCAGAAGCAGGCCCAAGCTAAGCGGTGAGTGGAAGCTCAACAACCACGAGCCGCAGCAGCATCTCACAGTGCTTGAACAGCTCTTCGTGTCTTGCGGTGCATCATGCGGGATGCTTTTAGGGAGGAAGAAGCTGCTCGAAAGGCATTATTGGCCAAGGCAGCCGCCAAGAAGAAATAAAAGGATGACCAGGGATCTATAGGAATCGGTCTAGCGGGTGTTTTTTTGACGTATTGTTTTAATACAGAAGTATTCGGGCTCTCCTTTGCTCACTGTTGACCTCCTTGCCTAACCCAACTTTGAAAATTTGAACCTAGTTAATGTGCGCAGTATATTTTACCTGCGTAGTGTTAAAAATGACCGAAAGTGACAGCAACAAGACACATTAATACTAGGCAGGCAAAATATATGGCACTTCAAGACTGTTTTGTAGTTGCTTGTCTCAGCGGAAAAGTGCTCGTGTTCGACGAGACTGCAGAGGCAGTCTTCAGAAGGTGGTGGCAAGTATCTAAATTCTATCGAAACAAGTAACTCATGGGCCGTTCAGTTCCAAACACTACCTTAGCGCGAGTCGATTCCTTTTGTGGTCATATCCATTAAAAAATTCGGGGAGGCACGTAGAGGACACAGTGTGCGGAAGAAGAAGGCCAGCGACGAAGGAGACGCTGTCCCGGAGAGGCTAGCTATTAAAACTGCCCCTGCCAGGATCTTCTCGCAGTGCTACGACCTTGCCAACGATACTGCCTACGTCCTGCGCTGCCGCGTTTTGAAGTACTCTTACACGTCGTGGACATCTGCTACAATCTGTGTGGGCGCGCTGCGCACTACGCAAAGTAGATACTTGCATTCGCAGCACCATGTACCCATTTGCGTTCTTCTGCAGTTCAATAACTACACTAGCGTGGTGAAAATCATAACGTCGCATATCAGTGTACAACCGCAACTGAATTCCCAGTCGAAATGAGTTCGCGTGATGAAGAAAGGAGGCTTTGCCTCCGAAGTTGGGGAAACCTGGGAGGTAGAGAAAATCACCATGGGGTTCATGTGAAGTCGCTCGGCAGGACTGTCGAGCCACTTTTGATGAAGCGTGTGTGTAGTAAATGGTTCGGGATGTATTCATTCTCGGCAAAAAAAACCGAGACGCCTCGCATTGATCTCGGTGCAGAGCGATGACAGGCAGGCACTCCTTGTTCACGTTTCCACTCATTGGTCGCACTGCATCATAGTCGAGGATGGCCACACACTTGAACCACCAACCCCGATCTCCCTATCCCCTCAGGTGCTGGGGAGAGAACGGGACCCAAGTGCCAAGGTCGCTACGCCATCGACGCTTCTTAACAAAGTAGTGCCACTGAGTTGTGTTCATAACATGAACATCTGAGTGCTCCATTTCACTGCGTGGACGAGCGCCCCTTGAAATTAAATTCAGCATACAAGTGTAATGAGGCCGCCGTCAGCTCTCTATACGCATATGTGTGCAAAGTTACACATATACAGTATGTATGCACGCACACAAAAACGCACGTTTGTGTATATTCAAGAGCTACAGACGACATAGCGCGTCTGCAGTCCATTTCCCACCAATGACCCGCCACAAACGAAAATAATACAACTCGTCAGGAAGGGATATGAGGAGTGTCTCAAGTCGCATCAAATTGATGGCCGACTATAAACCCATTAGAAGATCACTCTGCGCACATCCCCCCACTTTGCCAGCTGTTAGTGGTAAATCTATGACCTCCGCTCTTTCAACACTGTCTGTTCCTCCTGCCCTTGTCCTCCGTTTTGTCACTGCATCAATTACCGCACTCCTACTGGATATCACCACTGTCCGCCCAGTAGTCGTCTTCGTCAGTGATGTCAATCACAGTATCAGCTTCAGGTGTTTCGGCAGACGCACCACCCGACTCTTCACCTTCAAACTCAACCTGCTCAGCCTCCTCGGCACCGCCCCCTCCACCACCACCGGAGTACGCGGCAACGCCACCACCCACTGCTGCCAGCAGTAGTACACCACCTACACCTCCGGCAACAGCTGCCGTGGGGAAGCCGCTACCCTCCTCCTTCTCCTCTTCCTCTGCACCGCCTTCTGTGGGCTCCTCTGCTGGAGTTTCCGTCGAGGGCTGCTCTTCAGGTGTTTCAGTCTCAGGTGTTTCAGTTTCAGGCGTTTCAGGTTCGGGTGTCTCAGGGGTTTCCGGCACTTGCTCGCCTCCTTCAGTCGCCCCTTCTCCCTCTCCAGGCTGGACCTCACCACCTTCACCGCCAGCACCCTCACCAGCGCCGCCTGCGCCACCCTCTTCACCGCCAGCGCCGCCCTCTCCCTCTTCGCCGCCAGGTTTCCCTGTCTCGCCTTCGGCCCCTCCAGCACCCGCGCCGCCCTCTCCGGGCAGCTCCTCAGCATTACCACCAGAGCCTCCTTCTCCGCCGGCACCTGCGCCGCCCTCTCCGGGCAACTCCTCAGCATTACCACCAGAGCCTCCTTCTCCGCCGGCACCTGCGCCGCCCTCTCCGGGCAACTCCTCAGCATTACCGCCAGAGCCTCCTTCTCCGCCGGCACCTGCGCCGCCCTCTCCGGGCAGCTCCTCAGCATTACCGCCAGAGCCTCCTTCTCCGCCGGCACCTGCGCCGCCCTCCCCGGGCAGCTCCTCAGCGCCACCACCGGATCCTCCAGCACCGCCTGCGCCTCCCTCCGTTCCCTCCTCTCCAGTCTGGCCGCCCTCGCCGCCCTCGCTGCCCTCGCCGCCGCCAGGAACTGGCAGTGGGGTGGGGCGGAGTTCAGTGTTAACACAGGCTTCTGTCTCGGAGCAGATGCAGCCGGATCCCTCTTCGCAGTTCGCTCGCTGACGCGACCGTAGACCCTCCTCTGGGCTGCCGCACTCGCTCCACTCGCCGAAAGCCGGGCAGTTTTCGCCTATAAAAATCAACAAACCGATACACAACAAAGAAATAAACTGTTACGTCTGCTGTTTGCCACTGCTACTCCCTGCGAGCATATATACGTATGTGCAGCTCCGCTGCGTGCTGTTTCTGCTTACTGCCGCAAGTCATCACTTCAGTTACGTCTGGGCAGCCCGACAGAGACCTTGAATGCAAGCCGTCAGCGCTACATTCGGACCACTCGCCGAATTCACCGCCTGAGCAGAGGAGGAGCCAAGCACATTCCGGGCATAATTGCGCGAAGAACTACCTCAATGTAGTCTGTTACTTCACTCAATTCACGCAATTAACTACAAAAGCTAGCCCATTATGAGCAAAACAAACCCAAACCCACAAATAATCCCACGCATATCGGATTCTAAACTATCCCCGACCGGCCCCTGACGAGCATACGCCGTCCAGTTTGCTGTAAACTTGAAAAACTTACAAGAGTCAGGCAACACGTCGTCGCAGGTGAGCACTTCAGTAACGCTGGTGTGAGATCCGTCGGAGAGGATATCACAGGTGCGCTCCATTTTTCTCATGGAGCACTCCGACCAGGTGCCGCAGTGGACGGTCTGGTCGCCGCTGCTGCTGCTGCCACTGCACTCCTCTAACTCCACATAGCCGCAATTGGACTCCTCGCGAGACCGCAAGGCAGAGCCGCCCACAACTAGCGAGCACTCTGTCCAAGCACTCCAGTTGTTGCAATTGTCATAACCCTCTGCAAATAATACATACGGAGAGATATCGAAAAACTGGGAAATAGGCAGACAGTGTATTTAAAGTGAGCCATGCCTCGCTGCAACTATCTGAACACGCAAAATAGTGCGTCCATCTGATGAACCTACCAGGATTGCAGAGTCTGGTTTCCTTCTGCTGAGCACCGTTGCACTCGCGAGTCCTCGTGACCATCTCGCCAGCCTTGCAAGCCGCCGGCTCGAAGGGTCCAAAGGCTCCTGTGTTCGTACACAAAAGAAATAGCCGGTTCAGAAATCGTACCTCTACTAGACACAAAGTTCGGCCGGCCTCAAATTCCCCTTGCCAGTAGCCCAATGTCTACCACTGTAGCAATACTATATCCCCAGTCGGGTTACTCACCGCAAGAATCGGTCTCGCCT